GACTGACAAAGTCTAACTTTTGTACTCTTTTGCTAATCAACCCTAGACAGAAAATCAAATAGAGGACTTAAATTATTGTTTGGGAAACTATCTCCATTAGAGGTGGTTGTCCAAACAATGGATGGAATGGTTACCCTTATCTGGACTGAAATATGGTATAACACTTCCTATTACTTAACTATTTGCTTGTCTTCTTCTCCAAGCCGTTTATGGTGTACATCCACCAATGTGCTAGTGATATTTAGCTGGTGGTATTTATTATGTGGACGTGTGGTAGTAGATGGATGTTGTCAGATAAGGGAAGGTACTGCAAAGCTTTTGAAACACGACATACATAAGGTGAATAATAGGATAGTTTGACAAGCCAATAGGCACAAGCTTGACTATAACTTTTTGTCCTGTGACTGGGTCCACATTAATGGCCTGTTCGGTTTGTCAAAAGTAAATAAAATGCTGGTATTTTGTATAATGTTTGTATTTACTTTTGAAAAGACAATAATGCCCCTATTGAAAAATTAATTTAAAACTATCAAAGAGAAATTCCCCTGGGGGGGAAAACAGATGCTATTGTGAGTCAATAGGCACACAGTGCTTTGGTGACTGTTCCATTGGGAAAGCATCTCTAGGTCTAGACCCAATTAATCAAGTGCTCCTAAAACTAAAGTAGAACCTTCCTCACTCTTGGCCTGAACATCAGCTAGACTTCTCTTCCTTCAATGAGTCTAGTGGGGTAGCCATGAGAATTACATATTTTGTAAACAGGTGATGCCAATTTAGGATTGCTTTGATCTTGCTATCGCTCACCATCATTGCTGTTATAGGGTGGATTTAGAGGCTGCTGTCCATCAAAGTGTTTGTGGGTGATTTGGCTGATTATACGTGGGAGGGCAATATGGTCAAGAATTTTGACACGTGGGCAGAAATTTCACATAAATTTAGTTCCGTCGAAGCCCAAGCATTTCCATGGTGCATAACATGGAATCTCATTAAGGCCATTTTGAAAGCCTGATTCCATCACACTGTCATGAGTTCCACATCGAGAGGCCACATTGGTGGAATGTGATTTATAAGTCAGTTGGGCACCCTCCTCTTATGAGGTGTCTTTTGGGGGTGAGTTCTACCCAGATGGCTTGTGATTGTGACACACACCAAACATGCACTCCCATGAAATCCAGTTCCAATTCAACTGGTGTGCTTCACACCCTGCCATTCAGCAACAGTTTCCTCAGTTTCACATAACATCTCAAAACCTCAATCCCTGAGGTCAGATTTTCTGTATGTGTGACCATATAGTGGGGAGAGAAGAATGAAATCGTTGGGCATGTGGGTTGTGCAATTCACACGAGTCTCCTATACTGAATAACGTACTTACATGAACTACTTCATTTAGTTGAATATTTTATAATAGAAGTTCCCTTTGTTATTTTTTTCTGTTCCGTCTGTTGTATTTCTTTCCAGTTTGTGTTCAAAAGAATGATGCTTAGTTGGGATCATATTCGTTTGTCATCTTTGGCATTCAAAAAATTACTCATAGTATACGTGATAGTTTCAACTGTCAAGGAAAGATAATTAAGGTTTAAACCATTAACCTAAACATTTTCTTTATTATTTTTAATCTTGTAATAACATATTAAGAGGGTAAGGCTTGTTCTTGATTGTTGTTGTTACAATGTATGTACTTAGAGGGTGTTGATGCCCCTTTAACCCCGTGTCTAGGGTGCAGCTCCCCCCCCCCCCCGAGTTAATGGAACATGTTTATTTATCACTACCTTGTCTCTGTCACTTTTATTGTCCAAAATATTAAAGTAATTATCGCCTTGTGTTCATTTGGAAATGATAAAAGTTGGCTTATTGTGCTAAGATTAATGCTTTTCTACAGGATGGAAGGTGCGTTGTAAAGAGCTTTTCCCATATTCTACATACTTTGAGGGCAGCCGTAGTTCTACCTCTCCCAACTCAGCTTACAATCAGATTTGTAATGACTTTGAAAATGGGAGTATTAACCCTTCAATGGATGGCCAAAATGTGGGTTCCTTCACGTTAAATGGGAAACTAGACGCATTTAAAGAGCTTTCCATATTACAAAGTTGAACACATCTGTCAAATTTAAAGGTTTGCAAGTTACTCAGTTTGAACCCGTGGCAAACGAAGTTGCATTTGACATTACTTGAAAAGACTGTTGTAGTTCACGCAATGAGGGTGGTTGAGTTTTGATGCATGTTGTGCAAAATTCCACGTGGAAATTACAGATGCAGTTCTTTGCACGAGTATTCCCCTAGCTCTGAAATGTATTCCTTTGTGCAGATGTGTATAATTTCACCTCAGTTATGTTTTAGGGTTGAATTTTTGTTGTTCACCGCTTCTGTTCTCGTGAGATGCTAGATGGGGCCAATGGATTTGCAGTATTTTACAGAGTTTTACCATTTAGGTCGTGGAGGAGAGTTGCTGAAGTTTCCTCTGGTCTGCATCTAGCCAGCATATATGCACCAAGAAGATGTATGTTGTCTATTTTATTGGCTTATTTATAATGTATAAGCACAGATTAAGTGAAAATTTTGCCACGATGGCAGCTTAAGTTTTGGGTGATTTTAGCGTGTTTTTCACTGGCAGAGGTATTAAGTTTATAAGAGATACTTTATCAATATTTTATAGAAGATTTAGGTTGTCGTTTCAATCGTTGATCGACTCCTTTGACATTGCAGCTGTTGCTTTGTTCCATTGTTTCAGGGGTTGAGAATCTTGTTTCTTTAAATATGAGCTACTACAAATGTATTGAAATATAAAGTGGTTATTAACCCAGAGAAAGGATTTTCAGTATAGATAAGAGTGAACTTGTGGGTGTTTATATATGAACAATTGGTTATATGTGCGTGTATGCTTTGTGTTTATTATTAACTAGGATTTATAAATGTTTAAAGACAAAAAATATGAATCATCAATAGCAATGTAAAATACGTGCAAGTACACATTCTTTATAAATTATGAAGAGTATAATCTACAATTAGTTTGTTTATTTAAAATTAAAAATATCATTTTAGTTAAGTTTAACATTTAAGTTATCATCAAAATATTATAGGCTAGATTGGCTTTAGTTTTTGAAGAGTAAAAAATGTAAAATATCCTTTTGTAGATCTAGTAAAACCACAATGTTGATTGGTTTAAGTGATAAGAAATTCTGAAGTAGATTTGGAGTATCATATCATTTATGATTTATTTAATAAAAATATGACATTTGGATGTAAAAATGTAATAGATATTTTATGACATTTTATATAAAAAATGTAATATATAAAGATTTTATATAAAAGATTAAGAATTCAAATCACAACTATAAAAAATGTAATAGATATTTTATTTTATATAAAAATATTAAATATGACATTTTAATAATAGAAAGAGAAAATGTAAAAAATTAAATAGATATTTTATTATAAAAATGAATTCATTAAAAATAATGACACAAGATTTTATTTGATTAAATGGTTTAATTTTATTCAATGAATCATGATTAAGTTCATGTACCAAGTTCACTTTAGAATTTCTGATGAGTTAGTTATTCAAGTGGCATCTTCTCAACCTTTGAAGCACATTTGAATAGCTTTTACATTTAAAATTGGGAGATAAAACTCCCCCCCCCCCCCCCCAGTGGTGCCAGGTAATCATAATGATGATAATGTTGAGCCCGTTTATTCATCTTTATTTTCAATAGTAGCCTTTTTGAGAAAGATAATTAGTGTATACAACAATTTATATAATTTTTTGCTCAACATGTCAAACCTTACCTTATTTATATTTATACTTTTATTAATAAACAAATAAAATTTTTTTAATATATTTTTCTAAGGAATCAAGCTTTATAACAAAAATTACATATCATACAATCCATTTCCTTTTTTATGATTATAAATTATAAATTATTTTTTATTATATATTATACAACAACTTTCAATTTATTAAATTGGCTTTTAAAAAATATATAAATATAAATCTTATTACAATAATTGATTTTTACAAAAATGATTCTTCATAAATGAACTTTTAATAAATAGTTTTTGTTAAATTAGAAACCAAACATATACACTATGTCAGGGCTTGTTTGAAATTATTTTTGTTTTATTATTTTAAAAATAAAAAATAATAAAAATAGGTATTTTTCCTAAAAATAATGATTAAATGGTTTGGTTCTAAAGCAGTTTGGTTCATTTGTAAGTGAAGTTTCAATGATTTTTTAAATATATATAAAACTATACATTGTGTCTAGGCAGAATGTTTCACTCTCCTTTTTTCTCTTTATTGTAACTTCAAGTCATATCCACACATTATCTTTCATTATTAATAAAATATGTACTGCAAAATAATGGTTATAAAAATAAGAACCATCCTATAACTTATATAAAATCAAAAGCGAAAGAGATTCTATTGATTTTAATTTCAGTGAAAAGTTTTCGCTTTTAGGATGGGAAGAAGAAAACAATGCAATGCGGCAAGCAATTGAGTTATTGAAATGTATGGGTGAATAATTTGGTTTTTGAATTTTTAAGCATTTTAGGCTAGGCTTTAGTTAAAATTAAAGTAAAAGAAATAAAAACTGATAGACTAATATTCTAATCTAACTGTAAAAGATATATGTAAAATATAAAAAGTTTGGCTCAGGTTCCATAAGCACGAAACCAAAACCAAAACATTCAATTTTGAAATTTTTAAAATTAGACCAAATCTTTTTAATAATTGGTTTTGATCATTTTTTATCGGATCGGTTTGTATAAATAGTTTTGTTTAGTTTTCATCAACCTGCATCATCATGCACTGAGAATGAAGCCCACGTAAAAAATCAAAGCACTATTACCTGATCTTTATCACATTGAATTCTTTACCTTTATCCTTTGATACTGTGGAGCACTTGTCAATATTTGACATGTTCTTCAACAAGCCCTAAAAAATATCAATCAAATACACACTTACTTTTCATACCACAACGAAACCTGAGCATGATCAAGAGCTTCAAATTCAAGTCAACCTTTTCATTAACTTTTTGTATATATTTACACATCGTGAACTGAGGAAGGAATAAGGGAATTATAACAGAATTCTAGCAACAAGACTTCAAAAGTAAATGAAAGTGGGAGAGAGGTGAGGGCAAGAAGGTGAGCAGAGATGGGAGGTGAATGACATTATAAACATTTCACGGGTTTATAACAAATACATATATCGAACATGTGAAAAAACTTGAAATCTATCTTCAGCTATCATGCCGCATGTATGACACTGAAAAGCAGAGTCCAAATGCTTGCCGCTGGCATTAAAGGCGACAACTTCATTTGGGTGTATGAACTTCTTCAGAAAAGCAACTACCAGCCCTTGTAGGAAACTCGTGGCTGACCTGGCAACCATTCTACTCTAATGCTGACTGGACTCCCCTGCCGAAAGTACACTCACACCGACCTCGCTTTTACAGAGAGGACAAGATGCATTTATCTTGAGCCATTTGTCAACACACTCAACATGAAAGACATGGAAGCAGGGTAGCTCCCTAAGCTCATCATCATCGGCATATTTTGCCAAACAAATGCAACAAACCTGCACATATTTCAGAAGGCTAATGTAAGCCTAAGTTAAATTTACAACGAAATATTTGGGCCAAAATAGAATATATATATATATATATATATAGTTCTATATTTATAGAGGAGGCACCGTCTGCAGTTTCCGTGAAGGATCATCAATCATAAAGGCTCCTAGGAATGCAGAAGCCCATTCTTCAGACGTTAACGTCTAGATTCTGCTCATATTTAAATATTCTACTTCATACTTTCGTTAGCAAGGTGTCTCAATATTTCTTGGCTCCTTTCCATTATTACGGAACAGAATGGCATTTTACATGGGTTGCCATTACACGGGGAATAACAACAAATAAAGCTACTAGCCTCTGATAGAGATTAGATGAGATAACTTAAAGGGAGGAGATTATTACCTGATATTATCGCAACCAACAATTAAATACTAAAGGCTAAAAGTTTTACAGAACACAACATTGCCTGTTAACACATACCAGTTTATTCAAATTTTAAACATTGGATTACAGTAGCACCGGAACAAAATAGGTAAATGAGTTCATGATTTTAATAAGTTAAGCAGGTAAAAACTTACAGCATCTTCTCCTGATATGGATCGCTCCTTCTCTGTCCCCGCAGCCAAGGTCCCTCCTTCATCTATAGCTGTATTTCCATTCTGATCATCACTATTTTCGTTTTTCTTCAATCTGAACTTATATATAGGCAGGGCATTAATAGATTCAACTGTGGCCCCTCTAGTTTGAGAAAAGTCCTCTCGAATTCCCAAAACAGAAATTATGCAAGGTAGGCAGCAACAAATTGTTGCACATAGTATAAATGGCATAGCATATCCAATGCAACTGAAGGTAAGAAACACTATACATAACCTGAAAGGAAGCCCACGATATTTTTAAGACTTGGGAAAATTAAAATATTGGTACTGCAAAGTATAGTGTGGGAAAGTACCTATATAATTTTGGAGCATCAGAAGGCGAAGAATGACCTCCAAAGATCCAAACGTTGCCCACAACAAACCAAACTGCAAAGAAGCAATCTAAGGCCATCTTGAAATGGTCTGCTAAACCATTAAACCTGCAGTTCAGCAACAGATTTCTCAGCTAAGTGCATGACTAAATGTTAAACACAGATAATATCAACAATTTTGTTGTTTGAATTTAACATTCAATAACACAAGGGGAAAAGGGCAGGCGTTATAGCTCCTATATTTTTGAAAGATTTCTCCTTCTCCACATGCTTTTAATCAATTAAAAAACTTATAAATTAAATTAAGAAGAATATGAAATCCAAGACATGTTAACAACCCATGAGCCACAGCCACAGGCTTTTGCATTCACGGCTATTATAAAGACGTAATATGATATAAGGAAGATATAATTTTATTTTTCATGTGTGCATGGAATCAAATGATGAATCTGATCCCCACATTTTGCTAAGATTTCAAAATTTGAACGGGATCTGAGTGGACAGGCACTTGGCTCAAAAAAGCTGTAAAATGCTGTGCTCCACAATAAGGGTTGCCCACTTTAAAATTCCTCACTTTTCTTCCTTAACATCTTCTATATCTGCATTAAGAAACTTCAAGTCCAGAATGGTGTGTGCTTCTCAAAGAATTGGAACCTTGTAAAATGCATAAAACAGACTAATTAATTTAAAAGTTCACATCAACAACTCAAACTCCCATCATTTCTATACAAAAGTTTTCAAGCATTTAGAGCTTAGAGTAGAGAAGAGAGGGGAATAAGAAATTGGCAACATGTACAAATAACGTGGAGTGATGCAACATCAATTTTAAAGTTTCTTCTTGTTAAATAATACCCATCAAACATTAGCCACAACATTGTTATAAGAGGAAACTAAAAGGATTATTTAACTATTAACTAAGAGTGAAAAACATGAATAGCAATATGCATGACGGAAGAAATAAGTAGGATTTAAATCTCAACTAGGAAAAAGAATACCTAGAACTAAAGGCTCCAGGAATCCCAGAGTTTCCTGTAGCTGGTTCTGTAGCACGACCATTCTCTTCGTCTGAAACATGAGCAACAGAGATGGCAGTATAAGATGTCCGTTCAGAGGGATTGCCTCCAGAAGATCCTTGAGATGTTTGAGATAAATCTCGTCCACTGTTTTGATTACGGTTTTGATAACGACAGTAAAGAATAGGAAGCGTAGCAACACAACCAGATGCATAACCCACAATCCATGCAAATAGTGGAGCTTTGGGATTTTCATTCCTGGATATTGACAAGACAACAATAGATGCTATGATCTGACCCACAGTGACTACAAGCTCAACAGAAATCCATAGTCCAGAATTCAGTGGGCTTCTTCTGTGATGACCATATCCCTCACCTCTTCTTGTCGATGAGGAATTTGTAGAGTTTAACCTGGATGATGAAGGTGAAGATGATTGATGAGCAGAAACTTGTGAGCCAACTGATGGTTGATCTTCATTTTGTGGCAAATGCATTTCAGCATGTTGATCATCTTGAGTAGAGCTGGATAAGTCATTACTATTTATTGTAATGTCAATTACATGCTGATGACCATTATGGGCTTCTGGCTGCTCCATCAGCAAAGGATATTGATCAGTTTGGGTGTTACTATTTGGTCCGAGAGAGGTAACATCCATGTATTTTAGTCAACCAAAGTAGAAGGCAATAGGGCAAACAATGGTAGTGACAAGGTTCCAACGTTTAGCTGCCTTCTTGTAGTTTGCTTCCCGGTCATGTAAACAAATATGCTGAATGAAGAAAACCAAGATCCTTGCAGCACTTAGCACCACACAATTTAGAGGACTTTCTATCCTGTTTAAATGATAAAAGGCAAATAATGAATGGTTCATAGTTTCAAATATTATTAATGCTCAGGCAGGGAAAAATATAAGGATAACGTTTCTGTTCATTTCATATAAATTCAAACAACTAGCAAGATGATAGCTAACGTTAGCTTGCCAAAAGCAAGAGGAATGGTATAAAAAAAAGAAAGAAAGAACGAAAGAAGGAAGGAAAGTAAAGTAGCAGCGTGAGAGATTTGGCCACTCCCAATAACAGATCATTATCATTGCTGCAACATGAAGTAGACCTTAGTATATAAGAAGATAATTTCAAAACTCCTAGGTTGGCAAAATATCACAAAAACTTATTAAGGGTGTGAAATCAGCATAAACTAAATGGAGAAACTGCATAAAACTGGCATCAGTCATTTGAGAAAGTTTCTAAATGGGCATAAAAATGACAATCTGAACTAAATTTTGATGCTTACAGAAGAGGCATTGAATCAAACAAGAAAGAAAACTAAAAACAGTCTTCCAATTCAACCCAACTACTTGAATTTATAAAACCTAATTAAATACAATCTATATTTTACAGGATAGTCTTTCAAATCAGCATTGCACCTATCTCACAGATGCAACAGAAAAACTTGAGATAATCACACATTTGACACATCAAACCGATTGTCTCAAAACGGAATCTTATAACAACATGGAATTATTCAAATTCAGCGAGAAAATATCCCAAATCAAAAGATAGCATGAAACCCAAGTTAAGGAAAAAAAGTTCGCGCTTCAAAAAATAAATGAATAAAAGATGAGACATTTCTATGCGGAAAGAGTGAAAGAGAAAATCTGGACCTGATTCAACTTAAGAGTGTAATAGAAGGCTTCGAAGCTTGGTTTCGTTGGTGTTCCTTCAGATTTCCCATTTCCCAAGGAAAGAGAAATAGTACAAAGTGCAGACGTCAGCAAAATTTTGTTTTTCTTCTTGTGCTTCACTGCTTTCGGAAACACGCATCGGAAAGTGAAAGAGAGGTGAAACATTTAAATCATTAGAGCTGTTTGGATGACGTGGAGCCATTGTTGCCGTAGATTCGGAGAAAGGCATACCATAATGCAGAGATTTAATCCAACGGTGAAGAATCACATGATCGGATATGACTTTGGAGCTATGATATGAGTCGAGCAGCTTCGTTGTTGAGATTCTACTGATTTAAGATATTTTTAAATTTTTAAGATGGCTTGATATTTTTTTATCTAGAATATCTTAGAAGAATTGAAATTAAAAATATTTTATGTAGGCAAAAGAGAGACGTAATTGTGTGAAATTGTTAGTCTTTTTCACAACATTGCAATTCATGATATTGACAGTAATTTTATTTGATTACGTTGACAGAACAAACATACGTCTATACTGTTAGTTACTCAATTGAGTAAGTTTGTGATATTAAAAAAAATTATATATTATAATAATAATGGAAAATTAATGTAAAAATATTAGCTGATAAAAACCTTTCCCCTATCACTTATCACCTGTAAAAATAATATTATAGTTGGTTGCATATATACACAAATTTTTACATTTACAGCATGGTTGTGGGATTTTTTCCGGAATGCATATAAACTTAGTGATGAAAATTTAAAAAAGTTTTACTCACACATCAGAGATCAGAGAAATATATTAAAAATGGGAAATTAAGTCCAAAAAGGCCACCAAAAAAAAAAACAATGATAGTGCAATCTAGAAAATGGACTACGCTAAGGTTTCAAATTAAAATTAACCTTGCCTCAAGTATAACTAATTAACAAGCTTTATTTGATCATTAGAAACATTTTCACTTATAATAAACTGTAGTTAAATTGAATGAAAACGTTTTGATTTCTTAAATAAGATCAAGGATTCAAATCACAACTATAAAAAAATGAACTATCTAGTTATTATAAAAAAGAGATGGCAAAGCATATTAGCTAGAACAAGCCAATGGTGTGTGTATAAAATGTAATTCCACCAGTTATATTCAAATCACAGCTATGATTGAGTCAATAATGTAATATCCCTAGGGTAATTTTCAACACTCGAATTGTAGCAGGTCATTTTTCCAATCACGATGTTTGAAATAGTCAAATAACTTTTTAAATGATCTTTTGAAATTTGAAAGAGTTGTTGAGTGTTTGGTATATTTGATTTTATTATTTGTTATATTAAAAAAAACATATTGAAGAAACAACAAGGTTGACTGGCTTCGTCTATATAGTATGCAAGGAACTAAATTGTTTTTTTTTTCAAGGAAAAGCATAATCATTAGTCTTTATTATTTTATCAAATTTTGTTTTTAATCATCATAATTTTTTTGGTATTTTCAATAACTATAAAGGCTTGAATAACAAATATTACTCGATCTTTTTAAAATTATATGGATTAAAAATACTGAAAAGACTATTAAAAGCAAAAGTTGATGACTTAATTGAAATGAAATATATGTGCTAATGTGTGTGTTTTGATGTCCTTAGAAGAGACACTGTGGAATGAACTTTCATATCATCATCTATTTCAAGGTGTAATTAAGTAATTTGAAGCACATTCACTTGTTTTTTCCAAAAATAAATAAATAACGTGATATATTTTAACATTGCACGCATATGATTATTTAATTAAGTTAAATTTGAATATTATGAAATATAATTGAAAATAACTCTTTTAAAATCATTTTTTAATATATTTAAACTTGAGAGCTTATATTTAAATAATTTTAACCCCTTTTGTTAGAATCAAAACATATTGGCTAATATTAAAACATTTTGTAACACGGCGTACGTAATGACACAATTTGGAAGTAGAATAAACCGAAAAGAAGTAACATGGGTCTTACGGCCTGGTGCTAGGATATACGGGCCACAAAGTGATAATGGGCCTAAACTAGTATGGCCTTGCTTTAACATAGGGTCCAGGTTTTGACCCAAAAAATCGTGGAATCTCAGCACTCTTCTTTTTTTAAAAAAAAATGTGACCGTTTGTTGGATTGATTTTTCGGTTCGGCCATTTCCTTGGCCCAATAAAGTGTTTCGCCATTTGATCCATCATGTGTTTCGATTCAATGACTCGCTTACACGGAGCTTTTTGTTAAAAAAATAATAATAATAATTTCATCGCTCAGTAAAATTGTTAATGGAATAATATTATTAATATTATTTCTTATGTGTCAAAATTTAAGTGAGCTAAATCCTAAAAACCAAGGTATAGGCATGCTTCAGAACATAAAAAGTACTCAGGTCTTATTTATAAAAACATATCAATTGTTTCTTAATGCAAAACTTTTTACAAATTTTAATGAAATATTTGTGATCTTTTTTTTTTTCCAAAATGCCCTTTTATCTTTCATTCTTTAGCTTAATCAATGGCGTTTTCATCCCCTCTCCAATAAACTATACCCAATCAAAGAACAGTTTTGGGGAGATGAAAAAAAAAAAAATCTTAACATTTAAGTAATTTTTTCTATAATCTCATGACAGTAATTATCAGTTAGCAATGATATGAGTAAAATATTTCGCAAATTGGTTTGAGTTGATTGGTTTAAAACTTTTTTCTATAAAAAAAACTCACAGTTGGTTTTTTTTTTTGGGGGGGATATTAATGGGTTTTCAAAACTTACGTTGAGCACCAAGGAACGGATTGAGTTGAGTTAAATTACATGAAAAACAAAAATCTTCCTATCATAGTGGTCGTAATTCTATTCAAGGCATGATTATATATTACATATAAATATTTATTTCAACGAATATTTGAATATCAGTTTATCATATTATGAAAATTAGTTTCTCAATTGTTATAAAATAGTAATAATAATGATTTAGGATAATAAAACTTTTAGTCCTTCAAATTTACTTCAATTTTTGATTTAGTATTTTAAGTTTAATTTTTATCGATTTAGTCATTCATGTTTTCTTAAATAATCACATGAGTTTTTTAAGTTTTAAAACATAAATTGACTTTCAAATATATTGTCTCTTCTCTCTCTCACAAATTATAAAGTATTTTTTTTACCTAAAGAATTATACTTCTTATCATTAATTTGCATAGTTGTCATTAATATTTCGTTATCGATGTCAACAAATCTTAATAGTGTAACCTCCTTTCTAAATAATAAGAACCAAATTGATATTCAAAGTAAATTTAAGATATTAAATTGAGAAAAACTAAACTTAAGAAACCAAATCGATGACTAAAATAAATTTGAGAAACTAAACATTATATTATCCCTAATAATATTTTCGAATATAATGTTAAAAAAATTAATCATTTGGTCCCTATAGTTTTGGCCTAATTATAATTTAGTCTCTAAACTTTCACTTGTTATAACTCAATCCTTATAGTTTTAACTCAATTGTACTTCAATTCCTAAACTTTACCTCTTTTAATTTAGTCCTTATAATTTTAATTACTTAAATATTAATCCTTATATTTTTAAAATATAAAATTATGAAGATAAAAAATATTTTGAACCTTTAATATTTATAATATTTAAACATTAAAATATTAAAATTATAATATTTTGAACTTTTAATATTTATAATATTAGTAATAAAATTATGTTAAAATTTATACTAATATTTTAAATTATTAAATATTTTTAAATTTTATAAATATTAAAGGTTCTAAATATTTTTAATTTTTATAATTTTATTTTTAAAATATAGGTACCAACATTTAAGTGATTGAAACTATAACGACTAAATTGTAAGAGAAAAAATTTGAGGACTGAATTATGAGTGAGTTAAAATTATAAGAATTAAGTTACTATAAGCCAAAGCTTAAGAACTAAATTATAATTAAGTTAAAATTATAAAAATTAAATAATTAATTTTTTTCTATAATATTTAAACTAGGCATTGGAGTAATGAAGGGAAACTAGGCATTGAATTAAAGGAAAATTATAGAACTTAAATGATTATTTTTTTTATAATATTTAAACTATAAGTCAAAACCATGAAGTATTTTAGACCAATATCTCTTTGTAATGTGAGCTATAAATTTTTTTTAAAATCCTAAGTAGAAGATTGAAAATGATAATGGGGACTCTGGTTGGTAAACATCAGTGCAGCTTTATTTCTGGAAGGCAAAGTGGAGATAATATAATCATAGCACAGGAAATAATCTATAATATGAAAAGTACCAAAAGAAGAATGGGGATGATGGCGGTCAAAGTGGATCTTGAGAAAGCCTATGATTGACTGGAATAAAGCTTTATCAGGGATACTCTCTCTAAAGTGGGTTTATCTCAAAAAATGTGTGATATTGTTATGGGTTGCATTAGTAGCTCGACGATGCAAGTGCTTTGGAATGGTGGACCTGTAGAGTCATTCAAATCCACCAGAGGCATAAGGCAAGGTAACTCTATCTCTCCATACATCTTCACTCTTTGCATGAAGAGACTTAATCATATAATTCTTGATGCCATTGAGGACATACCTAATCAAAGTTTCTCATATGAGACCTGATATATCGCACTTATTTTTTGCTGATAATTTGATTCTTTTTGGTGATGCTATTTCTTATCAAGTGGGTATTATGATGCATTGTATTGATAAATTTTGTGAAGCGTTGGCTCAAAAGATGAACACATATTAGACAAAAGTTTGCTTCTCAAAGGGGGTACACTTCTTTAGAGTGTATGACCTAAGTAGACAAATGGGGATTGGTTTAACAACTAATCTGGACAAATACCTTAGCATTCCCCTCTTTCATAGTATAGTTTCCTACTTTCTTTTTACACCAATCTTGGACAAAACTAGGAAGAGGTTATCAAGCTAGAAAGGGAAATTCTTGAATATGGTAGGGAAAATGACATTGATCAAAGTAGTTCTGTCAACTCTCCCAAAAAGACTCCTGAGAGAATTTGAAAAACTAGTAGGAGTTTTTTGTGGGAAAATTGTGAAGAAAGATGAAAACTTCATTTGATATCTTGGGAGACTATCTTAAAGGATAAAAAAAAAGGTGGCCTTGGTATCAAGAATTTA